GGGTGGCGGAAGACAGGAGGGCCTGGCGTGACCTGGTCCATGGGGTCGCGAAGAGTCAGACTCGACTGTGCGACTGAACAACAACAAATTCTGCTTCATCTTGGTAAGAAACTCCTACACGAGGAGAAAGGGGAAAGGTGATCTCACCATTGGAGCTCGGGGGGTGGGGGCGGGCGGTTCTGTCTGCATAGGATCCGAAAGAACCTGAAGATCAGTGGGAAATTTTGACACGAGAATAAATTTTTTGCACTACCTCCCCCTTCAGTTTCATTTTGATGCACTGCCTTTTACATTCTGTTCTTTGTGTGAAGGTGAAGTGTGTGTCAGGTTCTGTCATGGATTCCTGTAGTTTATAATACGTTGGGTGATAAAAGAAGTAAAACCCATCAGTTCCTAAAAACAGTATAAAGGAGCATTCTAATATTTCATGAGGTAAAGTGTCAATTTTACCCAAAGGACAAAGATGATCTGGATATGGAATATTACAAAACTTCCCACATGATAGTTCCGAAGGGCTGGCGTTAAGACAAGCTAGAGCAAATAGCGCGTGGAGGCGCGGTGACGTTAAGCACGGTCGGAGCCTCCGGGACAGAGACCAGTTGCAACCTCATTGTGCAGCCGCACGCCATAAAAGGACCATCCCAGGAAGCCGAGCCGAAGAGATGGAAAGGACCTCCGCCGAAGGACACTACCGCCTGGTCCTAGCAAGACCCCGCCACAGAAAGACCTACGCTGCGTAGGTGCCTGGTAAAGGCATCCATCTCCCCTGATTGTGTATGTGGCCGTAGTGAGGCGATTAAATGTATATGTGTGACCCGCTCCGAGCCTCCGGGAAGGAGCGGTATAGAAATGTAATGTAATAAATAATAAATAAATAAATGCCCTAGCATAATCAGGAACCATGCGCATGCACACAAAAGTTCACACCTCAAATAAAACTTTGTTGGTCTTAAAGGTGCCACTGGACTCTAAGTTTGTTCTATTGCTTCAGACCAACAAGGCTGACCACATTCATCTATCGTTAAATATCTCATACAGAAAGGCCGGGACCCAAGGTGGTAAAATACCAAAGAATTGGGTTGAACAGACGTATGACCATGAATTACCGTTAGGGTTGCCAGACCCCACCCCCGGTACAGGCAGGGATACCCTGCCACCAGGCCCCACCTCCCTGCCACCGGTCACCTGGCTGGCAGGGGGGACCTGCCCTCAAAAGAGGGAGATCCATCCAACGTGCAGCGACCTCTCTACATCACCATCCATGTGACTCAGAAGTGACATTGTCACCAATGTTCCCTGTAAGCTGTGGAGTCTTGTGTGCAAAAATTCTACTTTGTGAGCCCCTGGCAGTAAAGTTGTGAGTGAGCAATTTGGCTGCTGCATAAATCAGTTTGCTCTGGAGCCACCCTCCCTGAGCTAAGACAAAAATGTGTGAGCCGGAGGCCAAAAACCTGTGAGCTAGCTCACACTGACTCAGCTTAGAGGGAACACTGATTGTCACATCCAGGACATTGGGGCGACACTCTGGTATTTGGGCAAAAACTCTATGGTAGAAGCCAAATCTACCATAGAGTTTTTGCTCAAATGCCAGACTGTTGCCTCAATGTCCCGGATGTGATGATGTCACTTGGGCAGTGATGTGCAGACAACATGTGGGCAGTGATGTGCAGACGTCACCGTATGTCGGCTGGGCCTCCCTTCTGCTCCCAGAAAGCCCCCCCCATCCCTCACCGGTTGCAAGGAGGGACCTGGGGACTCTAATTACCATGCTATCATAATCAAGCTCGATAAGAAGATGCTTGACTATTGACTATAGAGAGAGTCTCTGCCTGATCCAGCTGGAGAATTTCTTCTCATTTAAGCCCCAGCTGCTGTAACCTAGTGTGAACGCTCTTCATCCAAACTGAATAATAAGCATCTTGTTAGAGAGAAAACAGCAATCTGCCTGCTTCTACAACAGAGATAGTCTTTATTCTTCGCTCAAAAGCACTAAGCCATGCTCTGGCTTCCGACAACTTTTGGCCTACTTCGGCTCTGAGAGACACATCTGAAACACATCAAGGGACCAATCTATCTGATGCTAGACAGCCAAATATAGCCTTATTGGTTGCTAGTACATGTAGTAGTACATGTAGTAGATGGTTCAGCCTGAGGGGAGAAATGCCCTTCCTTAAGCTATTGTAAGGAGCTTAGAGTCTGTGGCTGAATGTGGCTTTCACGAAACCCAAGTTGGAACAGAAATTCCCCTCTGCTGTTGCATATCGCTTTCGCTTCCTTTGATCATCGGATTTTATGGTCGCCTCCACACTCCCTGCCACTTCTGCTTCCTTTGATCATTGGATTTTTATGGTACCTTCTGCATAGATTTATGGCCATTTTATGGCCCTTCAGGCATGACTTTGCAGTCAGGGGTGACTATGCAGACCATCTGCATAGATTTATGGCCATTTTATGGCCTTTCAGGGGTGACTTTGTCGTCAGTACGGCCTTGCCCCAAGCTATTTGAATGTGGTTTTGAGCTGCGCTTTTCCCTCCCGGTTGAGAAAATGTGGAGCGAATGCTAGATGCAGAATTGCCCTGTGAATGGTTCGGGGCCAGGTGTGGCTTTTGCCCAGCGCGTCTTCTGACTGGCTGTGCAGATTAAAAAGCTGTTAGAGTCATACATAACCTCGCTCCTTGACATTTTGTGGTTGGCTCCGCCCCCCCCGGGGCAGCCATTTTTTTGTTGCACCCAGAAGAAGAAGAAGAAGAGAAGAGGAGATTGGATTCATACCCTGCCGTTCACTACCCAAAGGTGTCTCAGAGCAACTTACAAACTCCTTCCCCTTCCCCTCCCCACAACAGACACCCTGTGAGGTGGGTGGGGCTGAGAGAACTCTGACACAAACTGCTTTTTCAAGGACAGCTGTGCCAGAGCTTGTGACTGACCGAAGGTCACATCAGCAGGTGCAAGTGGAGGAGTGGGGAATCAAACCCGGTTCTCCCAGATTAGAGTCCGCACACTTAACCACTACACCAAACTGTGCCAGAATTCCCAGGGTGCCAGCAGGTTCCAAAATATTGGGGCCCTAGATTAAAGAGAAGTTCAATACAACTGCAAGAAGATTTGCTATGCAAGGCAGTGTTGCATTTACCTAAGTCTGCAAGGTTGGATAAGGCCAGCAGGTTGACACGGACAAGGGCTTCGTTATCTGGATAGGTTGACAGTATTCTGACCACAGAAGTGATCACTCCTGCCGCCACCAGCTGTTCTTGAAGATCATCTAGAAAGGTAAATGCAGAGATGAGGATCCAGGAATAACCTGTCAGACATTGGAGCGGTCCATGAGAGTATGAACCAAGTTAACATGCAATCCTATGCAATACTACTCTGCCCAGCGGGCTTAGTCTGGAGGAAATCTCCATAGAATTGCGCTGTAATGATACTAAAGATAACAATGGTGCAGCAGCCCTAATAGACTAGACTAGCCCT